AAAGAAGCTAGATTAGAAGAACCTAGGACCCTACTAAATAGCTAAGAAGGTCTCCTCTTACGCGTACCGCCTTAATCTACCTAAATCTATAAAGATATACCTTATATTCTATATATTCCTTCTCTATCTTGCAGCTAAAGAAACTAACTATATACCTAGCTAGAACGCACTACTACCTAAACCTGTTATTATAGATAACAAAGAAGAATACTTTATTAATAGTATTAAAGGTCTCCGCTTTAATAAGTATAAGAAGAGACACAAGTACTACGTAAAATAGACAGGTTATAATAAGTTAACCTAGGAACCCGCCTTAGAGCTAAAAGATAACGCAGCTATAGCCGCTTTCTACAAAAGATTTCCTAATATCCTTAAGCTATTACTGTTATAATTAACGCTCGCAGAAGCTTAAGAGTAAGAGGGGGGTACTATTATAGTAACTACTGTAGTTCCCTTAACACTAAACGCGCTACAGAATCTAGGTGCTCTACTAAGCACCTAGATTCTACTAATTAGCTAGCTAAGCTAAGCGCTACGCGCACAGCCCTTTGTTAATAACTTTTTACTACTTGTACATGCTAGTTCTGTTTCCTTACGCAACGTCTTATATTACACTAGATATTATACGTAGCTACAGTTAACGCTTCTTGTAAGCTCTTAAACTACGTGCTTGTAGCGTCTTATAACAGGGATAGTAGAGGACAACAGCAATATATTACAACAACAACTGTTTGCTATCACCACAAGCGAGCAAAAAATTTTCCGCCTTTACCTTAACAACATAAAAATTTTTTATCACAACAAGGCAATAATATTATAACAAAGCAATAGTTCTTATAACTCTTTCTATTACATCTCCTTACTATAAAGTAAGTTATAAGCCTTATACAGGCTACATAAGAATAACGCAAGGGAGCTGCAAGCGCGACAGACCTAGAGCGCATAGTAGAGGACACTCTTTTCCTACTCTTAAAACAACAAGAGAGGTTTTTATTAAGGCTGCTGCTATTAAGGACGCTAGACTAGAGGAGGAGGTTCTATAACAAGGGCTTAAGACACACGTCCTTTAAAGGAGCTAAGTACGCGCTAAACCTGCTTATAAGGCGCGCCTCGCTCTACAGAGCGAGGCAAAGATTATTCTCTTTACAACTTACACTTGTAGTCTAAATATATAAGCTATCTCCTACTGTCTTTAGTAACGTGAAGCAAGCACTATTGCCTACAGTTACGCCTTACAAAAAAGTAGAATCGCCTACTTTGTCGCGTTTATGCCTTAGATAGCTGTAACTTACTCTTAGTTACCCTACTGTACTGTCTTTAGCTGTCCTTAACAGTCTGCTGCTGTAACTACTGCGCTAGTTAATATTACGCTTATTATAAAGCTAGTCTTATTAAAGTTGTACGTATCTTTGTCCTAGATGCTGTACTTAGCCTTCGTATTCTATACTAGGCGGAACTAGCCTTGTATAACCTTAGGATCCTCGCAGAGGGCTCTACTATAGTTGTACTTTTAATTAAACTTAACTTTAAGCTTAGGGCGACGCTTTACAAAGTTTGCAGCCTACCTCTTGCTAACTAGCTTCTAATTGCGGATCTTAAGCAAAGAATTAGCTATCTCTTTAACGTTAGCAAGCCTAGGCAGATATCCTTGCTCTATTAGCTTAAGAACATGCCTAACAATCGCTACCTCTTCAGATCCTCAAAGAGCCATTAATTTAGGCTCACAATCGCGTTAATAGGGCGTTCTAGCGAGTCGTCTTCGTAGTGTGCTTTTAGAGACGTTGTAGGTAGCTACAGCGCGTCGCAGCTTAAATATCGCGTCTTGTTAGATAGCCTGTAAGGCAAGCTGTATATTTCTTTCGTTTAAAGTCTTTTTAACATTGTTGCGTTAAGATATTACAGGTAGGCTTTAAGTTTAGTTAGGTCTTAGCAAAAAGGTTCCACTCGCTTGAAGGTTCCACTCGCTTGTGACCTACGTTAGTATCAAAGTTTTATTAGATCGCTCTTTAGCTAAGACGCCTTTCTTTGCTTCACAAAAAGATGTAGGCTATAGATAGCTTATGTACACTCTTATTATTGGTATGCAACAAACATCCTAGCTAAGACTATATGGTATCCCGCAACGCCGCAGAATGCACAACTATCGATGAACTCCCGAACGAGCTAATTGCTCAACGCTCACACAAATAATGAACTATACAAGCATCGTATATATCGTAAGGCATGTCACAGCCCCAGCTCAAAGTCTTTGTTCAGCATGATCAGACGTGGCGTTCACCTCACTCCTGTCTGATCCTGCTTGATGTGCCGGGCTTTCATCCCGCCTCTCTCTTCTCGTCCGACCAGTAAAAACATCGCTTAGCCTGACACTGATGCGTCTATTTCTCCTATCTCGCGAACTGGCAACATCCTCAGCGCTGGCATGGACACTGCCTGCTGCAATATCACCGCTTTGATTCCTGCCTTGCTCTCTCAGACGCCGAAGAGCGCCAATCCGTTCTTCGGGTGATGCGTTGGGTCGATGACGAAGAGAGAGGATGTCGAAAAGCGCTGTACGGCGGCGATGTGATGAATCGGCTTCAGGGTTGAGGGGAGGGGCGAGCTCATTTTGATCTTGTGACGTGGAGGAATCATGGGAGGTCACAGGACGAAGGTCGACGCGGCTGATGGGAATTAGCATACCAAGCATTGTGCATCAAAGAGCAGCTTACCATAATGGACATGTGCCAGACACGTTCAACAACCAAGGGTCTACACATTCTGGGTGGAATTTGTGATTGCAAGGAAGCACACGGAGATCCTGGCCCTTTTCAAAATCTTCAGTACAGATCGAGCATCCTAGAGCTTCGTCTGACGATGCATTGTCCGTGCCCGCCCCCACGCCTGTGGCAGCGGGCTGTGCAGGTGCGATGCCTGACTGATGCTCTTCCGATAGTCTTGGTGTCGCAGCTTGTATCGTCCTCGTTGAGTCGGGCAACGTATCCGGCGTGTAATTTTCGTGGTTCGTAGTTGTGGTTAAGCTATTAGGTACTTCAGTATCTACGTTTGCACGATTTACATCTGCCGTCTCTGCTGTTGATCCCAACTCAACGTCGGCAGGTTTCGCAGACTCCTTCTCCCCAAACTTGACGATTGGTATTGTGTCCAGTATAGCTCGCCCTAACCCCCTCGCTCTGCTTTGCCTTGGTCGGCCAAGGACGTTTCGAGGACCATATCGCTCCGGATGCCGGTGCGCGCGCACAGCGCCAGTAATGATGATGACGAGGAATAAAGCTGTGATGATTCCTGTGATACTGTATAGAATAATCATGGCAACAGCAGTGGACGGCGAAGGACCAAGTGGGTTTTGCTGGTATTGGTTGCTACCACCGGCGCTATTGCTTCCCTCATCCCGGCCTTCAACTTGCACAAAGTACTTCATGTGGGCAGGCAGGTCGATGATGGCGCCGAGTATCTTCGCTGAATCTTCCTTGTTCGTCATTGAGTATACAGCAAACTCCTCGATCATGTTTTGCGCGCTGTCCTGCGTATAGTTGCAGTAGTTGGACGCCGTGCTGTACAGTATGACAGCCGATATGTTGGCTTGGGTATAAGCCCGTTCGAAGACGCTCTGCGGAGTGTCGAAGCCGTTGTAGTCGTTGGTGTTACAGCTGATGTACGCGATTTCGTCATTGGAGATTCGAGCAGCGCTGGAGTAATTTGTATTGTATAGGTTGCCCTTCACCTGGTCCTAGTCAGCGCATGAAAAGCTGTGCGACACGCAGTGTTTGACGAACTGATTTAGCGGCTTCCTGGGTCAATGGGATCAACTCGGCAATCGTGTTTCCGTCGCCTTGCGCATCAGCAAGAGGTAATGTGCCATCGTAGAGATTTGGACGCGCGGTAGAAGTGTTGGTGGAGGAGATGGTAGCCGCGGAGACGGTTGCGAACAAGACACACGCCAACTGCCACGGCAGGCGGAAAGGTGGCACGAGCAGCATCTCGACAAGTAGTGTGGATGCGGCGCGAATCTTGTAAAAGGAATATCGCGCGCCCCAGGCACGAACGGGCTGGGGCTCCTTCTTATCGATGATCAGCACACCAGGTCCGACGCCCCATGGAGAGTTGGTCGCGAGCGCGGGGGTGCGGCTTCACTGGTGTCGGCCCTGAGAAGCACCCGACGATCCAAAGCGATTATACGAGGTGACAGATGTCGCGCTTTCCCACTATCATGTCGCGCGTGAAGGTTAAACAGCGACAAAGATATTCATATAGTAAAAGAGGGTCGATTGAAGCCTCGGCGGAGAGGCGCGGATTGCCGTGGCGTATCGATTGATCTTCTCATACCTACCCGCTGACGCTGGCGACCCACTAAAACGTGCCACTCCGAGACTGCCGCACCATAGGCGCGCAACCTGTAACCGTTTCTCCAACCCACCCACGTTAAATCGCCGCATTGCTCCACTTGATCGGCTGCTACTTGCTGTTGTCGTCGCATCGTGACCTGTTAGACATATCCGCCCTACTCCGCCCATCTTCACTGCTCACACCTATGGTACGCTGCTGCGATGCAGTCGTCAGCCCCATGGCTGAGCGTCACCCCCCGGGCCGGCTCGATGTATCGTGAGACTATAAGCATCAGCAACAGCTTACTCCAAACCTGACGTCCAAGGATATCCCATCTGACCGCCTTGTCCATCTTCGCAGTCGTGGTTTGATTAGCTGGGCTATATGCGCTATCTCTTGTCGCACCTCAAACTGCATATGAAAGAGACCCTCTAATACCACGGTCACAAACTTGATTCGGATTGATATCTGTAAACCCCAGTGGAATCTTTCCATGAAAAGGTTGAGCATCTACGCCACATTATGTGCAATTCATTACTAGCTAGACCCAATGTACCAATTTTTCCTTTACGCCTGCGCTATGTACCGTGTGTGTAACCTTCTGTCAAATACAGACAGTCATTAGTGTTCTCTTAACCCTCCTCCAGCATATGTAGACACCAAAACACGATGCTCTAATATGCAACACCACTACGACCCCTTGAAGGTGTTCTGAACGTCATGGACTGCACCTGCTGCTCGACCAAGCCCCCCAACGCTAAAGTGTCCATTGGATCAACTCCCATCTTCTGGAAATCGTTGAAGCCAGACAGATAGAACCCAGCAATGACCACAAGATACGACAAGATCAGTATAGAGCCTTTGAAGTAGTTGCTTTTGCCTTCACCGTACATGTACGACAAGAGAAACACACAGAGTATAACAGTTATCATATCCCACTGAGGGAAGATGAGAGTGAACGTCTGGCTCGCAGCGTCTTGGGCGGGGATATAGCTCGTGTGTATGGCACTGTAAAAGACGAGGGCCGGAATCTGGAGGAGACAAACTTGCAAAGCGTATGCAGAGCCAATCTCCATCGAGAGGGCGATGTTGCCGTTCATGGCAAAAGAGATGGCGTTTAGAAACTCTGTTGTGTTAGGCACCAGCGCGAACAGCGTGATGCCCAAGAACTTCTCGTCGATATCTGAGCCCTCAAGCACGCCATCCACGGTATTGACGAGTATTTCAGCAATGATGGCATATGCTAGAGTCGCCGTTAGAAGAATAGCTGCACTTTTCTGACGGCTCCAATTCGGTGCGTCGTGACCTCCAGAAGCGTGTCCAGTGGCTGTATCGACCTCTTCGGGCGCAGCCTCCGTGTTTGTTCTTGTATGAACTGGGCGCTCAACGTGCGCTTTGGTCGATGTATGAGCAAGTTGGGCAGCTTTGCGTGGAGCCCTAGTAACATCGCGCGTTGCCAGAGCTGTTGTAGTTGCCGCGATTTCTGTGATCTGTCGCGCAAGTGACTGAGCAGCATCATCTGTAAGACCCTCAACGTGGAAAGAGTGATGTGAATGTGCATCACTGTCTTTAGGTGGTACCATATGTGGGGTGTGGCTGTCCGATTTGGAGGCCGGCCGCCTGTCGTCCGAGGAGTTTTGTTCTGGTCCAAGCCCAACCTCCTGCAAAGTCTGGCTGACCATACGCTTGTACAACTGGCTGTCGCGAATGTGCGCACGCGAGACGGACTGCCCAGTCGCTTGTCTGACAAACGAGGAGTGAGGGTAATCCATATGACCGCTTTGGCTAAGGCTACTTGCGCTCATTTCAAGTACCTTCTTCTCCTGGGCATCTGGTTCAGTCCAGATGGTAGCAGCGTGAGTTCGAAGAGTGAATAGAAGACCGATGATGTAGGAGAAGAAGAGCATAGTAGCCGCAAACCAAGTGTAAGGCTTGACAGCTTCATTATAGAAGCGATCGTTCAATGCAGGTGTCTGTGAGTAATAGCATCTACGGCAGTCTGGTTCGAGGGGCACATGTCGGCCAGAGTGCACACATTGGTGACAGTTGAGCTCATGCTGATAGGTTTTAGCGGGGCAATGGAGGACGTCGGGAAAAGACTTACGCTTCCATAGATCTGGTAGAACAGTGTTGGACCAAAAGCGCCAATGACGGCGAACAGGAGCATAGTCGAGGTGACACCAGCAGAGCGGACGTTGAACCTCTGTGTCTTACGCTTCAAAGCACCAAAGCACATGGATAAGCCTGGCAGGAACAGGATACCAGCAAAGATGCTACCAATGATACTTCCCTCGACAAGCTGGGCTTTGCCCTGTTTAAGCGCCACGCAATAGAGGAATACTTCGACTACCGTAGAAAAGAAAGCATTGATAGTGGCGCCTACACCCATGGAGGATTGAGCTGAGATGGATGCTACGGCTTGACCAATGAAGTATGCGAGCGGGATGATGGACAACAAGGCAAGGGTGAACAGCAGGAACTGGTCTGTCAACCAAAACTTCATCTCCAGGGCCTCGGCTAGGACGAAGTAGTCGAAGATGGTAAAGGCCACTAAGCCAAGGAGATTGATGAGGAAGATGTTGGTTCCATCAATGGTGTACTTCCAGTATTTGATTCCAACTGCGCGGTAGGTGCAGAGAAGTATCGAGGACGACTCTCCAGGACGGCGCACGTTGCCGTTATCAGAATGGAACGAGAGAGCTAGAGGGTGACGCCGCAGATGATCGAACAGCAGCAGTGTTGTCTTGCCCATAGGTATTGTAAAAACAAGGAACCAACACAGGGCTGAGACAAGGAACAGCGAAGGTGTAAGGAAACCGTAGAAGAATAGGAAGAAGACAACTCGACCAAGATTCCACTTGCCACGGCCAAACAGCCTTCTTTTAGTGTTGGCAGTATCGGTATGAAGAACATTGGCTCGTCCATCTCTGCCAAGCAAGCTTGTCGTTTCTCCGCCGGCAGAATCAACGCTGTTGCGTCTCCGGCCGATTAGAGAGCTCGTACCGGTTGTTGGACCAAAGAAAAGGCGCCCCTCTTCGATATCACCGCTCTGCCACTGCTCGTACTCGCTAATGCTACGACCCTCCCCTTCGTCCTCTTCTATGTAAGCCTCATCCTGCATGAGCTTGACGTACTTGCCGAAAGGATAGAATAGATAGCCGGCAAGGTGGAAAAGCAGGCGAGAGTATTCCTTGCAGCTCTCATGAAAGCCTAGCAGGGCGCATAGCAAACCACCGGCCATGGCGACGACAGCCAACCACCAACCAAAGATGAGGGTCCAGGCAATGTTGAAGAGCAGTAGCCATCTACTGACGTAGAGACCTGGCGATGAATGAATGTCTGCTTCAGCGTTCCGCTGCACCGAACGGCCCTTTTTATAGAGGGCGGGCTTCCAGATCCTGATACCGAAGGGATGCGTGACGTTGATAGCGTCCTGGCGATCGCGGAGGGTAAAGCTCTCTGCGTCGCTCAAGTCGTCTTCTTCTTCATCGCCGCCTCCGCTTTCGTCTTCGTCGTCTTCAGCTTGTACCGTCTCCTCACTGGACGAGGGTGTGGCGTCGGCATCAGCGGCCGGTGGCGCAGCAGCAGTCTCCTGCCCGGCTTCATCGTCTTCGGTCGAGTCGATGGTGGCTAGGTTGGGTGGTGGTGCGGCGGTGCGGCGCCGGACAGTCGATGGCTTGCGACGTAGCGGCGTCTGTCGTTGTTTCTTCTGCTGGTCCTGCTGGGCCTGGTCCAGCTCCACTTCTTCTTCGGCGTCGTCGACACTGAACTCCTGGCCCTTCTGTGGCCACTTGGACGATGTCGCGCGACGGCTCATGGGCGGCTTCTTGGGTTTGGTCGAGCCTTCGGATGTCGTCGCGTTCTGCTGGCGGCGCTCGATTGCAGACGTGATGGAGCCTGTGGTCGCGTCAGCCTCGTCTACTCTGCTGTTCTCTGGCTGTCGGGATGCAGCTCTTACCATAGCCAGAGGGCTGCATGGCAGCTTGCGGGCGTCTGCGCGCCGAATCCGTGCCTGACGCGCTCTGCGTAGGCGTGTCGCTGCCTGTGCCATAGGTGCTGCTTCGGCGCGACGTCTCGGGCGACAGCTTCGTCTTGCCTCCGGTGGGCGTCCGATCGTCCATGGTGGTGTCGCTGTGCAAAGAGCTCCAAATGTTTCGACAGGTGCAAGGGCAGCCAGTCAGACCATCTGTAGCTCAACCTTGTTTCGGGTGAGCTCGTGTGGTCACAGCTCAAACAGTCAACTGCGAGGCTATCTATCTGCCCACGTCACGAATCGACCGCCGTACGATGGCAACTATTAAGTGCGAGCAAAGATGCATCACAGTGCTGGACGTGCCCCTCTGATGTGTGCATGTGTGTGGGAGCAAGCTGCAGATGACCTCGCTGGACGTCCGATTTCCCGGCGATCAACTGCACCAGTCGGGCATTTAGCGCCGAACCTCTCACTTTCCTCCAGATAAGATGCACTGCCAGCAATCGCTGCACGTAATGCACGGCACCGGCGGCAACACAATATACGCGTCTAGGCGCTACTTGGGGCCAGTTCTGCCGTGTGGTCAAGGTGCCACTATGGCGGTGCCCAGGTGATGTCATGCTGTGGCTAGAGTTCCCGTAGTCTCGCTCTTGCATGTCACATGCACGCTTCACTCGATTGGCTCCTGCTCTTGTGCTGAAAGCGATTGAGATCAGCCAAAGAAGAACATGAGTGAACGACGTAGCCCGCGACATAGCAGCACCACACTCAACATCTTAGACTAACTTCACCCGCAGCTCGTCACATCAGACGTGTCCTTGACTATTCCTGGACATTACATTCGCAAGGTCCCTTGCGCCATCAGTCGTCAAACGTGGTGAATCCTACACAGTAGAAGCGCGACAACACCAATCGCTTGCAATATGATCCGATCGCCGCCCAGACAGAGCTCAACTTGTAGAGCCTGTGGTGAAAGCTCAGGCGGAATGAATAATGCCGTTGTGTTGATCAGTCGCTCGGTGCTTATCGATAGCGGACGACACGTTCCAGATCGACCGCGCGCCGTACATGATCGTCACCCGTCCACCATGTGAAGCGCGCGCCGACTGCACGCGTCGCGCAAAATATGTATCACCTTTTCAAGTCCATATATCTCCATGCCACGAGTAAGGAAGGTGCGCATTCAAATCTCCGCAACCACCAAGAAAAGTCTAACAGACCCCAGAGTACTCGGTTCTTCTCCTCGGTCTCGACAATGCCGGCAAGACAACGCTGCTTGAGCAGATAAAAGGCACCTACACGCCTTCCCACCCCAACCTCAAAACTGTCCCGACGGTCGGACAGAATGTTGCTACCATCGCGCTTCCTCCTCCAAATCCACCAATATACCTCAAGATATGGGATGTTGGTGGCCAACACAGCCTTCGTGGGCTGTGGCAATCCTACTACAGTAGCTGCCATGCTATCGTCTTCGTCATAGACAGCAGCGATGTCGGCAATGCTACTCTTGCTGATATGAGCGCGAACAATGCAGCAAGCATAGAGGATATCGGGCGCCTGGACGAGTGCAAGATGGTTCTAGAGAGCGTCTTGGCCAACGAAGATGCTAGCGGCGTTCCCATTCTAATACTCGCCAATAAACAAGATCGTGAAGATTGTGTCGAAGTAGTCCGGATCAAAGAAGGCTTTGTGAGGAGAGTGTTCGAGGGAGAAAAGGGTGGCAATGTGAGGGACAGCAGAGTACTCCCGTGCAGTGCTCTCACAGGAACTGGCGTGCAGGAGGCGGTCGAATGGTTATGCAGCAGGATGGCTTTCAACAAGGAGGCAAGACCACCGGTTATGAGGTAGCTCCAGACGCCAAGCTCAGCACGATGTCATGAATATACCCGCATCTTTATCTACTCCTGCGTCAGAAGCATCTACTTCAAATTCTTCCTTTCCCTTCATACTGTTTGACAACTTCGTACTTTCCTGATGACTCCCTCAAATGACTAGAAGTTCTACATCTACAACTTTTTCTCGGCTAGAAATCTCCCTAAATAGAGATATGTTCACCCTTCTTGCTAGCTGGCTTGGTTTATCGACTTTGCACTGAGCATCATGTGATCAGTTTATATTAAGGACAACCTTGGATTGATCAGGTTGTATTGATGAGCAAGGCAATTGCGAGCTTCTCTGGGGTTGCCAAAGGCTTTGGAACACTGGAGATCAACAAATCTATATTTATGTATGTTGTGTCACAGGACATCAGTCTGAAATACAATCCAGATCATGGGACGAGTCGATCGATCAAGATTCAAGTAGTTTTGGTGCTGCTCAGTAATCATGTTGACATATGAGGAGTCAAAAAACGCCTTGCTCTGGTTCTACAACATCAACTACTTCCCTGGGTGTTCGCAGCCCGAGCTTCCGCGATAGCTATATTCCAGTCATTTTTACTCGAGTCCAACTGATTGGATCCAGTCCGTACCCACTGAGAAGCATGTTAGCACGAACAGCTGGAATAACGTAACATGGTCTGGTCATACCTCTCCACAGCTCGTGGGCTTATACCTTGCTACCTCACCCTCCGCGATGCAACTGTCTAGTACACCAACCTTTTCGTTGACATCGAAGCCAAAGATGAAAGGCATACTGATGCGATCTTCTTGAGCTCTCGAAAACACTCTATGCACGGTGCTCACAGATCGATCATTGCCTACACGCTGAAGGAAGTATCCGATATTGACCACAAACGTGCCAGGAATTTGTGTCGCCCCAGTCCACCGTCCTCCTCAAGTCAGCACTTGTAGGCCGCCAGTCAAGTCCTGCCACAGCAAATTAAAGCACAGAAGGTCAGTGTGAGAGCCCAGCCCAACATCCTTGGACACTGCAGCTTCAGCAGGGGGTTTTCCCGCGTAAAAGCTACATACACCATCGTCTCCTGGCTTGAATGCGGAGGCATGGAATCAGATTATGTCACACATGCATCTTGTAAAGACACACTTACATGTGTGACCAGATCGTCGAAGTAGTCCTCATCGAGGTGGAGGGCCAGAGCAAAGACGCGAATGAGACGGGGTGCGAGTGCAAGGCATTCTTGCCAGTATGCGGTTGACCCGTCTTTGAAGTTAGGAATGCGCTGCATTCCTTCCCATACGAATTCCTCTCCCCTGATATCTGCAAGGATCCCGTCCGGGATTGATGACAGCGACGCTGCAGGAGTATGTAAAATGGATGTTGGGAGTGGGGAACGTCGTCATCGTTGTGGTTGTTGGCACAGGATTGTTAGACAGAGACATCAGCGGAAGACAAAATGCATGAAGTGTCAAGATGGGTATACTCGTAGCCACATGCCTACGAAAAGTGAGAGTCAATCGGGCTTGTTCATTATCAAGACCCCACTGACGCTAACCATGATACGTACCAAATGCTTTATGCCTCATATGCTCACACTCTACCGATATGGACGTTCTCGTCCGATCGACAAGTACATTAGCGGGCTTCCCCTTTTCCTAATACAAACCATGATACCTCAATAATCCATGAGACTGAGAGCACTGATGCTGTACGACTGTTTCAATGTGGCAAAGCTTGATTGCCTCTCAGAATAGCAGAACAGGTGGAATATTGGCTGGAGGCTATGTAATACAGAGCGAAGTCGACCGGCCAAAGAGAGATACTCCCGGCTGGTCAAAAGCTCACGTTGGGTGTTACAGAGTCGAGCATTGGCTCGATGATACGAGGTACATTTGGTCTAAAACCGCTGGCGACTTCCTCATTCAGGTCAATGAACAAAAGCATTTGAAACTCTTCATCGATGTATACCTGGGCACAATGCATTCGACTAGTGGCAGTCGGGCTGCATATCAGCAGATATCAATTATCGGTATCTCCACTTAATCCTCCATGCCCTATTCCTAGCTCAGGTCTACTGAGTACGTCTTACCTCGGGACGACCAGAGTTCCTGATATTTGAAGTTGGCACAGCTACTGCCGGCTTACAAGCCAGATACGAAGTCCGGCAAGATGTTCACTGCAACGATTCTCGTCTCTTCAAAATGGCTGATCTTGAGCGACGAAACTGTGTGAACACGCAGGAGAAGACGACGAGCATTGGTGTCGATAACTCCATATCCACTGAGGAAGGCCACACAATTAATATCTCTGACACGTATACCGGCCATCTCGGTGCAATCTCCAGATGGTTGGAAGGATATGGGATCGAATCGAGAGGTTTTCAGCATGTACTTCCACAGGAACGTTCCAAGCAGTCGATATGGAGTCTGTGTTTGACATGGTACGTTTGTACTTTTGAAAGCCCAAACTATCCTGATTTCCCGCAGAGCATCCGCAGGTCTGACAATATCTACGTTCACGATTGGCTTTCTAGGGCCGTCAGTGTTCAATCTTACATTTAGGCAGACTGCCGCTATCACATGGACGCTTTTAGGTTTTGGTACATGCTGTTCTGGATACTTGACGACCTTTGGCAAAAAACATGGCCGTCGCACCCTCGTGAATCCGCGCTACACACTCGGATATTATGCAAAGATGATCATGTTTGTTCTCAACATTTTGACCGAAATGATATTGGTATTTCAGGTCTGCATACAAGGAGGTCAAATGCTTGGTGTAATGTCAAAAAGAAATCTCCGTATTATATGAGGCATCTTCATCATCGGTATTTTAAGCTGGACCATCGCGACGGCTGGATTCAGCTACATTCTTTATCATGAAACCATAGCCTGGATATTTCTCATGATTTTGGGTAAGCTGACCATGTTTCGAAGCCTACATGCTAACCGTGTGTAGGTTTCCATCAGCCTTTACGCCGTCGGAGCTTAAAGCTTCACTATGAAGACCTCCCCTATCATCGAATCTAGAAGTACACAAGTTAGCCTTGGGCTTTCCTTTGCAGCCATAATTCTTAGTTGTGGTTCAAATTGAGTGGCCGCCTCAGCAGACTACTATGTATACTTTCCCGTAGAAACACCGTCGTGGGAAATATTCGCCATTGCCGCCTCCGGGATCCGGATGTTGCCAGCTTTCGCTACAATCTATGGTGCTGGATTCGCGTCAGCGCTCTGGTCAAATGCGGAGTGGGCCACTACATTCGCCAATAGCGATGGTTAGTCTGCCGCGCTGATTGAGTACGTGCTACGACCACTCGGAAACGTTAGATACTTGCTTCTCTTCGTGCTGTCGTTTAGTATGATGAGTAACAACGTCTTCAACTTGTATTCGATCGATTTTTCGATGCAATTATTTGGCACATGGCCAGCGAAGCTACCAAGGTTCATCTACACATTCCTCAGTGTTGTCATGACCATGTAAGCTCCCTAATACTTGCTTCATCTGTCGTGGCCTCCAGCTGATGTTTCTCATAGTGTGGTTGGGTGCGTAGGGTACAATTCCCTCAACGATATCATCTCCAACTCAGGCGCTGTCATTGGATACTGGTCCATCGTCTACTTCGTCCTCATTTTTGAGGAATCGGTCATCTTTCGACCAGTACGTGGGTACGGTCTTACTGGCTGGAATGATCCGAAGACCTTATCAATGGGCATCGCAGCCATTTTGTCGTTTTGTTTTGGTGTGGTAGGCGCTGTATTTGTTACCGGACAGACCTTGTATACTGGGCCAGTTGCAGCGATGGTTGGTGATTATGGTGGCAATATCGGCACATGGCTTGCTTTCTCTTTTGCTGCTATCGTCTATGCTGAAATGAGATATATCGAGGTGAGGAGATTCGATCGTTGAGTGATTTGTGGTCCTTAAGTACAGCGTGAGGAGCGTCTACAGCCAGCTACTATGACGTCGTCGTTTGCAGTGTGAAGCATGCAGATGCCGCAACTCAATCATAGCCTACACATCCTCCTTCGCCTTGATCTCGTTTGTCTCAGCGCTGACTTCATTGGCCATCAATCTCGCTCGGTCTTTCTCCTTCGCTCTTTCGCTCTCTCTCTCTTTCTCCTCTTCCATCTTCTTCTGCCTCAAATACTGACAGAATTTACTTCGATCCCTCATCGTACCACCCCACTGCAAAGTCAAAGACATGAGATCAGTACATGTCTCGAGCAGATGACGTACAGCCGTAACTTACCTTTATAAACACAAATGGCACAACACAAAGCGCCAGACTAAAGAAGCCTAGTAGACTCGTCGCCCACGCCACACCCATAGCCCTATACATCGGCTTTGCAGCGAACGGCAGCACAGCACCGAAAGAAGATCGGGATAATGAGGCGGCGGCCATTGCACTACATTTGTGAAGACACGGAGTTAGTGAAGTCTCCTATATATTTAGTATAGTTACAACTTACCTTGCAGCAAAAACTTCGTATGCGTCAACGAGGTAATTGAGTAGCGCCATGAACAGACACAGGTAACCCATGCCAAATAAGATGCCGGCGAGAGTAGGCACGATCCAGTGTATGCCTTCTCTACTTGTCCAGCCAAGCCAAAACGCACTGATGACGAAAAATGGACCTGCTATACATGCTAGAGGTAGACGACGCATCTCTTCATTCTGTGACCAAGGCCGATTAAGACGTTGAGAGCGTGCCAGGTACCCTAATGTTCAACGTGCAAAGTCAGTGCACGTTTCACACACAGTTAGTATGTGGAAGATACGTACAATCCCAAGAAAGATAGATACCAGCAGAGATGACTGCACCGACGCCAATGGGGAGAAATGCAATGCCGGTCTCTCCAGCATTAAAGTGATAGATACCTTGGAATATGATGGGATAGGACTGTAAAAATATGTAAAAAATGGCATCTGGAAGAGAGGTATCAGTACATCGCTACCGTCGCGTATCAGCGAAGAAAATTGGCTTACAGGCATAACTCAGGTACAAGCAAGTGAACAATACCAAAGGCTCGAAGCAAATCATGCGCAATGGTCTAGTCAAGATGACAGTGACGATGTGGTTCAAATCTGTCTTCTCTAATTCCAGCGGTGCTGCGATCCTTTCATCACCAGTTTCTTTGCGTAACCGATGAGCCCGACGCTTCAAGATTGTTGGACCATATGTCTCATCAAAGAAGTAGAACAACGGCCATGTTGCGCCGGCGAATATAGCTCCAACCCAGAAGGCCCAGCTCCAAGAGACGACTGCAATGTAGCCTGATACCAAGGGGCCTAGAATCGGGCCAAAGGTTGTCGCAGCCTGTTGTAAAAGATGAGCATAGGATATTCGTTGTTAGCGAAATCATCTTACCATGAAGATAGCCATACTCCTACCACGATACTTGGGGTTGTGATATATGTCCGCGCATATACCACCAACAACGCTGATGGCACAGCTGCCTCCCACGCCAACCAGCAATCTGAAGATTACTAGCGCTGCAAAGTTCGGTGCAAGAGCTGAAGCGACCGAAAAGATTGTGAAAATGCCGAAAGAAATCACCATAGTTCCCTTGCGGCCGTACGATTCCGACAGTGGGCCCCAAAGCATAGGACCGCATGCATAGCCGACAAGGTACATTGAAGTCGGCAAAATGAGTTTATACTCATCGTACTCGTTGAAGTGACGGGATATAGGGACTGCAGCACCGGCTGCTAGGCTCGAGGTCATGGTACTGTTCATGACTATGTACAGGTCAGCTCTCCTAGCTATAAAAGTCGGACGGGGTTACTTGCCGCTCATGATGGCCACGAGAAGGGCGTAGATCTTCTTCCACTTCATTTCTCATCAGCCTTGTATCGCTTTTAGTACCGCACATCAACTCACACGACCCCAGTTGTTGGGGTTTTCGGGATCTCCGTCTTCAAAGCGAATAACACGTCGGCCACTCGCATGGCTATCGTCAACGCTCGACATTACCGAAGAAGCATTTGATCTTCCGGGCGAACTAAGCGTTGATGGTGTTCGCGACGCGACTTTCTCAATTGCGTCTTCCTTTTCAGCATCGGAAGAATCGTCGACATCTTTTCCAAGTTCCCTCAATCGCGCGGCACGCGAACTTTCTACGCCGGCTATGTTGACCCGTTAGTGGAAACTTGCCCCAACATCACACTGAGAATCAGCACACGTACTGTGATTCCTCGAGCTCTGCCAACTTCTTGAGCTTTTCTGACTCTTCGATGTAAAACTCCGGACAAGAGCGACCGGCGATGTGATAGCCTCATGCCCCGGTCCTAAGCCTTGCTGTTCCCGGGAATAACTTCTCTCTAGATCGGCACTGTCCATGGTAACCATACGAACGATAGACTTGTCTATCAGCACTAAAGCCTCGGACGGACGACATGTACTTTTGTAGAAACGGTGGGAATCAAGAAATCAATGAAATAGATTTAGGTCTAGAGTGGAAATGCTTGACCCCGCGCACTTAAATCAGCTATCCGAGGTGCTTTAGTATGTGCCACAATGCCCTTGATCGATAATGATGTGGCTGCATGTTTGGCTGTCGATCACAGCGTTACCCCATTTGGAGTAGGCGGGGCTTGACCTACGAATAGATGACGGGTACCGTTTAGCTGCCCATGGGAAACTAAGCACCATAGGGCGTTACTGTGCATCGGCTGGTTTACCGATGCGCGGCTCCCAGGGACACCGGAACATGGCTGCGAAGCTTGCCTGGAATGAGTCACGTACATGGGTTTTTCTGCGCATCTGTTTAGTCCGACGGCATGCATTGGGAACGCCGATTCCGAACTCGACCTTATCTCGGAAAGGAGCCATCAGATTGAACATTGGTTCAACTCTGATACTGGATTTTCTATCGGGAAACACAAGCTGGAAGCCCATGACTTCTGCGTTGCTTAAGTTTCAAGGTTGATGCTGCGTCCAAACCGTCCATAAAGGGCCTTCTTCAACTCCCCCATCTCTTCTTGAATGCTTTCTAGCTTGGCCTTTAGCGCTTCTACCTCACCATCAATGTTCTCTGTGGAAGAACTTAGGAGTTCGAGAACCTGCGGCTGTGGTAAAGAGACAAAACAGTCACCCACTTTGTACCTGTGGCTGTGATTAGCTTCATGATAGCTATACTACCTCTGACGAGGGCCCACCTTGCAGCGGATCACAAAAACTTACGGTACTTTCTCCTCTTCATCGACGAGCTCCAATTCGCCCGAGATCTCCTCCAAATCTTCCTTCTCCTTCTGCGGTTACGTTAGACTACATACCGACCAACGGCAGCGTTTCACAGCATACAATCTTGGCCCTCAACTCTTCCTCGAGGATCTCCTCTTTTTGATGCAGCGAACTGAACTTGTTGATTTTCTCTTGATCCTCACGGCGCACCTCCAGATCCTCGCTCTGAGCTGAGGCCTCTTCGTCTTTAGTGAGCTGCCACAGTTAGCGCCAAACTGCGGAACACGATGCAAAAATCGTCGACACTTACCATACGGCGCTGCATCGTGATGCTAAGCGATTGCGGATGGTTTAATACAAATCGAGTTGAATTGAAGCTGAGATGAATCAAAGAGCGAAGTGAGCGGTGTTGGTGGCTACACTCCGGCGTTGCTCGTGCCTTCGGGTACGGAAAATGCCAAGACTCCTACGAGGCAGGGGCGAGCGCCCAGCGCAGTGGACTTTCAAAATCGTTCAAGACAGCCACACTGAGGACCACAACGACTCAAATTTGATATATGTACTTCAGCTCGATTTTTGCCGTGATGACATGAGCATGTATCCTACTAAGCTACCCTCTCGAATGTGGCGCCATATTCGTCTCTCTTCTCTACCAATTTGCTGCTCGTCTGACTATTCTGCGCATCGCTAAGAGCCCTCACGATATCACTTTCTGCCTTATCTCTCACCAGCTTCCGCAACGTCTGTATCAAAAAACCAGAGAACACATCTACTGACCAATCGTCCGGTACGATTGCCAACACATCAGCTACATCAAGCCAGCCTCCAAAGCGTTCCAGAAGTTCACTTGTTCGCTCAACACGTTGTGAAAGGTCTTCTATAGTCAGGAACTCTTTTAGCAGGTGTCCGAACATGCGTGACTGCTCAGGGCGAGTAGGTATCTGGCTATGCGAAACAGGGGGTGCGCCTGGCGTAGCACGTCGATGTATGGAGGCGTAACCATACAAACAGTAGCTTATAGCAGTGTTGTAGTCGCCGAGACCATGGGTGAGCAGTTTTAGCGCTTCTTCGTGTCGTTCTTGTCGACCATTCAAGATGATCATTTCGGAGACCAGCTCTTGCTCATATGGCTGTAGACGCGACAGAACTGTGTTCACATCGTAAGAGGATGTCTCGCTAAGTAATTGGAGTAGACGTATACGCGCATGCCACCATTCTGCAGCAAGAGCATTGTCGTTTATGAAGGAGAAGTACGTTGGTTTGGGTGGCTCCAGGATACGGTACGTCTCGTAGCTTTGCGACAGCGTGGCCCGCGATCCAGCGTTGCTTTCAAGCTCATTGATGACGCTGTCGAGATAGAAAGCAATGAGTTCATTCACATACTGTGGGTGCTGTGAACCATATTAGCGAGAGTCACCTAATTATGCTTATAGTCGTACCTTCTTCTGGCCGAAGACCAGATATTCCAGGTAGTCTTTGACCGCGCCTGGCGCTTTGTCCCTGAGCAAAGCAACAGCTCGGGTAGGATCAAACTTGACTCTACTCTGATCATCGGCGAATACTTGGACACCGAGTTTGGGGTTCCGATTAGCTAACCAAGCGCCGTATTCTTCCACAAGTCCCTGATCCCGAATCTTTCGTAGGTAGTCGCGCACCTTCTGCTCGCCATCTACAAGTTCCCCTCCTTTGTCTTCTTCGCCCTCTATGATTCGTTTCCAGGTCGCCAGCACGTGTGATGCCTTGACGGAAGCCTTGCAGTTACCTTGGTACAAGCGACTGAGCAGAAAGAGACGCTTGAACTGCTCTAGCAATTGGACGGCACGGTCGAAGCACTCTACTTCCTTATCTACTAGGTCATAGAGTTCTGCTCGTTGGGCGCCTGGACTGGAGGTACCTTTCGCGCTGCCTTGGTCCAACAGTAAAAGAATATGAAGCAGCGCCGCATCGACACTCTTAAACACTGATGGGTCGTTGGTCACACTGGCCATTCCTTTTCGCCGTCTCCAAAACTGAAGGTAACGCTTTACGAAGTGCAAAAGATTGTCACCAAAGGGACCATTGACGTTTGTTGGCATTGCAGAAACGTCGTTCTGTTGCAAAAAATGCTCTACCAGGGTCGTGATGCCGCCGTAAATTTGTATGCCATCAGATCCTTGGACGACCTCTCGATAGAGAATTGGCATCAGGCTCAAGACAACGCGCGGATCCATCTCGCCCTCGATGAGCGCTTGTTCCGTGATGCGCTTCTCGTTCTCGAATATGATGATGTCGGCCTTTGTACGTAGGACCACGTCCATGAAGAGCATGAGCGAGGCCTTTTGACGAATGTATATGAGACTGAGGTATTCAGACTCATTTTGCGGTTCTCGTCCTCGAATATCTCCTAGTACTTTTTCTATGGCCCCTCTGGCAGGCTGAATGCGTGCCACATCTCCTACCTGCGCATACTGCGCAGCTTCGATTCGAGAATCTAACTGGGTCACTAGTGGATTGCGTACCGTCCACCATATCTGATCACCAGCCCAGACAACAATTTGAGACTGCAGTTTGGATAGGCGCTCTGCAAACTCACGATCGGCGGCTGCTTGGCTCTTTTCAACCCGAGTGGCCTCTTCTGCTGCTGCTTCGGTCGGAGGAAGTTGCAGTTTCCGAACGGTTAATTTTGCGCCTACTTCTGGTATCACGAGATCGAAAGGCTGCACTACGGTGCGCATACCTATAGGCGTCGTTATGTAGGAGCCTTTACTGTGCACTGGCAATCCGAGAGGACTGAAGTTGAGCCAGTACTTATCCACTTCGCCAGCGCTCGGATCTACATCCCATCGCTGTACCTCGACACCATAGGTAGTGTTGCCTTGTGATTCTCGATGAACGACGGCTAGCACGTAGCCTTCTTCGGCGTTCATGTCGGGACTGATAGATGCTGAGAAGTCCATGCCCGAGCCGTCGACAGCGATGGCATCAGGGTAGCTACTGAATTGAATACTACCCCTGCACATGTCCCCGTCGAGATTTACAAACATGCCGACACCTTGATCAGAAGGTGTTGTGCCGACCGTTAGTAAGAACTCGTTCGGATTTGGCGATGCGACGTGAGGTTTCAACGGGATGAATAGCGGCGGTTGCGGCAGTGGTGGCTCCTCAGCTTGTGGCCTATCTTCCTCTGTCGGAGGTGGCGGTAAAGGTTTGTCGGGTGAGGTTGCGCCGCCACGAGGACGACTAGACGATCTCTCAGAATATTCACCCCCCACGGGCACTCGCGCAGGGGAACGGGCGGGGACTGGTGACATGTCCCGGGACAGCGACTCTGGTACATCGAACCCATATCGCTGCGCCGGAGGCTGTGGACTTGCTGTTCTAGAAGGACCGCCGAGACCAAGCACATTCAGGCTAGTACTTCGAGCATGACCACGCTGCTCCTCAGGACCTCGTAGATGTCGATCTGCAGAAGAAGCGCTTCTGGAGGGTGCACTAGGTACGGTCGCCAAATGCTCAGCAGCTCCACCTACATCACCAGCATCGGGGTCCAAGGATGAGATGGGGAACAGGCCTATCTTTTGCTGATGTAAGATGTCTAGGAGGGCATACGAGTGCGCATCAGCAGCGCACGAGAAAGTATCTCGGCGGACGGAAACCAAGCAACCTCCATACTCGATTGCTTTGATCGCTTTTGGAGGGGAGTTCTCGGATATCTGCACCAGTCGTAGTCGCTTCTTCAAGCCAATGACGACGACTACACCATCTTCAGAAGACCCATCGACGTCCTCGTTCAAGTCCACACCTCCAACCCAAAGACATCCGATTGGCTTGAAGGTCGAGTCTGGGCTCAGCTCGGGTAGCGAGTAGATGGAGAGGGTGTTGTTGCACAGTACGCAGGCCTTGCTGATCTTGGGAAGCAACAGGATCTGCTGCACGCCAGGCCCATTGTTGTCATTGTGCGGCGGCTCCAGCCGGGAAGCGATGATGGCAGTGGGTTCTTCGGAAGGGTCGTCGGTCTCTGGTGGTAGGAGGACGAAGTGGATGATCTCGGAGGCGGATGTCCCAACGTAGAGATTGCCGTCTAAACGCGTCAGTACCTGGCGAGGCGCACGTGTACACAGGGGCGCGCATACTCCATACTTCTACACATGTGATGCGCACGTCTGTAGAGGGGCCATCAGCGGACAGCGGTAGGTTTGCGACGAGCTTGCGGAGGATGTAGGGGCCATCGAGCGGAGGCGGTCGCTGCGATTGGAAAGATGCTTCTGCCATGATTGTCGACCATCACACGCGCCATGACCGGCTACGGCAGTGACATGTAGGATGCGCGCATGGTGGATGGTGGAATGCGCTCGTGTTGCCTGGCGAGCTATGAGTGCCGCAGCCCACCAATTAGGGCCGCCCAACGCCGCACCTTCCGCGGTTTCACGGGAAGCTGTATGCATACGTAACCAACTCCAGCCCATGATTCCCAACGCGCCGTGAGAGCACATTCGAGCACGCTTGACCACGGCCGTAGGAGCTGCCAGTCCTTTCGCATTCCAGCTGCACATCGTTCTTGCACCACGGCCGGCGACCGAAGCGCACCAATGGAGGGCGGAGTCGACATGGACGAGAGGGCCGAGACTCGAACAACCGCCGAGAGGCAAGAGTCCGGCGCAGAAGACGAGCACGAAGAGGAGAACAAGTTCCAAAAGGCTATTGGCGCGTGGCGGAGTACGAACATGCACGACCAGCATCATGGGCCAAGGCTAACGATGCGCCAGACATCGATCTCACCACGCTCATTCCGCAACTCGATACTGTAGCCTCGGATCTCGTCGCGCACCAAAGAGATACGCTCACGCAAAGAAAAGATCTCGCGCAGAAGACCAAAGACTTCCGGAAACTCGACGATGCCAGCAAGCTCAGCGACATCAAAGGCCTCTTGAAGTGTAAGCCTCGACTCGCGCCGCCCATCGTGCTCTGCTAAGTCAGGTTCACAGCATACCAAAACTTCATTGATCTTATTTCAAACCAGTCAAAGACGGTGCAGGCCGCCTTCTTCCAAGTCTACTCGCCGCTCTCTGAAGCACCCGACCCGTATCCGCTCCTCGAAGCCTCCGTCGACTCGCTTGTAACCTCGGAAGAGCTTGTGCCCAAACTCACGTCCGAAAATGAGCGCCTGCAAAAGACGGTGGCGAGTCTTACTACACAACTTGACGAGTCAGACAAGAACTTGGAACAGGAGCGTGCAGCGAGGAAGGCCCTGGAGGACAGCCGAGACAGCAAGATCAAGGATGTGGAAGCATCATGGTCGGCTGTCCTGAACGAGAAGCAAGACAACTGGGAATCCAAGGAGAAGAGTCTAGAAGAGAAGGTCGAGAACCAGGATCGACTACTAAAGGAACTCAAGGCCAGTTACGAAGTCTCACAGCGACTTGGCCAGGGGGAGGCCACTGACGAAGAAGGCGGCCGGGGCGCCACTGCTGCGGAGCTTGAGATCGTCAGCTCAGAGCTCGAGCGAACAAGCCATCGATTGGCCGAAATCACGGCACGAAACGAGCAGTTACGCCTCGAACTGGCCCAGTCTGCCTCCGCACCAGCGCAGCAGCTTGCTGCTGAAGATGACCCTGCTTTCCTGCGACTCCGTTCCGAGAACTCTTCACTCCTGCGAAAGCTTGAGAATGCGCGTTTCGAAAAAGACTCCGACCGAACACGGCTCGAAACTGAGACGAGAAGCTTGGAACGTGAAATCAAGTCACTCAAGAGTGAGAAGGAAGCTCTTCGCGAGAAGGTACTGAAGTGGAGCGATTACGAGAATGTGAAGCAGGAACTAGAAGTGTTGAAGGTATGCTTTTCAAACTGCATTTCCAAGCCCAAGCTAACTTGTGCTAGTCGATTGAGTTCGCGACAGGCGACGATGACGACGAAGCCACCGAGGTCGCACTCTCACAAAACAATGCGTCTAGCAAAGGCAAAGGCGAAACACTCGAACAGCTGCTACTTGCTCGCAACAAGAAACTCAGCAACGAACTTACAGTAATGCGAGTCTCACACCAGGATCTCCAGACCAGACTTGAAGCTCTGCAAGAAGAACTCTCCAACACAAACATGGACTTGGAAAAGTCACGACAACTCAACGAAACACTGGAAGCCGATCTTGAGAAAGTCCAGCAAGAGGCGACCAATGCCTTTGACCCATCTGGCATGTCAGTCGCCGGGACTTACGTATCGCGTTATCCACAATCTTCCTTTGCCGGGGGCCGAAGAGGCCGCTCATCACCCACTTCGTCCATCATCTCTGGCTTCGACAACTCGTCGCAAGCCCCAACATTGGCGTCTCTGCGTGCCGGAGGCGGTGGTGTCGAGCCCATGGGCGGCGGTTCTGGTATCCTCCCGATGATTACCGCCCAACGCGACCGCTTCAAGAAGCGCAACTCTGAGCTCGAGGCTGAGCTTCAAAAGTCCTACCAAACAGTTTCATCATTGCGAAGCGAGATTGGCGCGCTACAGAAGGACAATCTGGACTTGTATGAGAAGACGAGGTATGTGAGTAGTTACAACGCGGTCAACCGAGGGCCAGCATCCAGCGCCTCGAGTTACGCTACCAACCCTAATCCCTCGGCCATCAACATGGGCGACGGTGGAGGTTCAGCGGTCGATACCAAGTACCGATCAGCCTATGAATCTAACCTCAGTCCCTTCGCCGCGTTCCGAGGTCGCGAAAGCGCAAGGGCTATGAAGCGCATGCATCTCTTTGAACGCATGATCCTGCGGGTCACTAAGTTCGTACTCCAGACACGAACAAGTCGCAACATCTTTGCGGGGTACTTACTGGCGGTGCATTTCATGGTGTTCTATTTCTTGTTTAGTTACGAGGCGAGGGCAGGCGCAGCGGTCGTTGTTGGACCAAGTGTACCTGGAGGGCCTGTTCCTGGGCCAGAAGATGCGGCGGCGTGGCATAACGAAGACGAAGGAACGTCGTAATGGGCTGAGAACTAGCGAAGGATCAACGTCTCCAGACGTCTGTACTATTATGGTGGTCTTTAGCATGTGGGCGTTTCTATTCTGGACTAGCTGTAGCGTGTTGGCCATGTCGCACGCCCTGGTTGTTTCAATGAAATTGAGAGACCTGTTTATTGTGCTTGACTTCCAACAAGATGTATCGTGACACGACAGACGGTCTGCTTGTTTTTGATCGGCCTCGTGATGACCTACGAAGCAGCTTCTTCAGAGGCCCCAAGAGACCAAGACATGTGCAAATACGCACCTGCAACAAGCAACACCAATAACGAATGTCAATAACCTGGCCTTGAGCCTCCTACAGGCCCCAATTGCTTGCTGTGTAATCCTTTCTGATATTATGGTGCATCGGTTTCTTGACTATATGGCGGCAGGTAAAAATGTCGCGTGGCGAATGATCACAGGAAGATCTTGGAAATGATACTTCGGTCTCTATACTGACGTGTACTTGACCGAAAAACGTACAACGGAGAGACGGCAAGGAAATGAGCCACTCTTGACCCAAGACTGCCAAATCTTTCTACAAGCGCGAAGGATGTTCCACGGTTATGTATGGTGTCTTGCAATATCAGTATTTCTGTATGTGTTATTACCAGTTTGCAAGGCGACACGCCCATCCATGCCCTCCTTCTTACTCTTTTCGTAGCCGATCAACCGCTCTCGACAATCGTCGACCAACGAACCCACTGTGGAAACAGAAATGCGGCATGCAAGTGCGGAACACAAAACAAGTTTGACATGCACGACATCGACATCCCTAGCCAGCCAGCGGCGGGTCGACAAGCTAAAGCAAGAACATCATCCTAGAAATCCATTCTGCGGCCTCTGCTGCCAATAGCGAAGCGCTGGCATAAGAACGTTCGAGGCGCCCTTCCTGCCCACGTCTGCCATTGGTCGGCCACTGTGGATACTTGAGTGGGAGATATTAGCTGTCATTTCTCCGCTCGATGTAGGTTGTATTAATAGTCATTATTGTGGATTTGTGGTCTTTTTCTGGGAGAGGTACCTTCTACTTTAGGCATGGTAGAGGATACGGCTTGTTAGGTAGGTTCACCGGGTACATGGGTACTTTAGCAGCTGAGATTGTGTGTAGGACGGGCGGCTCTGCGGGTGGGGGGGATGCAGAACGAAGGGGAGGAAATTGGAAGGACTAGGTGTGGAGAGAGCGATTGCTGGACCCGGTGGTTGCAGAGGCTGCAAGGTCACGCACTGTAGTAGAGGATCTTGGAGGTGTGCTATTTTCGACACAAACTTATTGCTGAAAGGAATATCGAGGATCTGGACGCGGAGTGCCTTGTGATGTTTACTCGCACAGGAGGGCGGCATCCGGCTGACTTAGTTGAAGAACGATCATCAAGTATCTATCCTGACAACCACATAGCCCCGATGACATACTCCCATCAGCAGCCTCGCATGTTCAGAATATGTTCCGCATCAGCAGCTCAATACACATAATCTCGCTTCCGAACTCTTACCAACCTCCCCTCCGTCCAGCCCCCAAAATAGCCATCTCGCCAGCGATCCCCACGGGCGTCTACGCCAAAGACGAACGTAGTATAGTGGCCGTCAAGCGCTTCGGTAGATGAGCGAACCACAACGCACGAACCTTCTGTCCCCTCCCTCTCGATTCTTGTCAGCCAATCGTACCCTGGCTGGCTATATTTGGGGTCTTTTTCTACTTTAGCGAGCGACACGGTCTGGTTGGGCAAGTGGAACTGGCGGTAACGGTTGATCGGCTTCGTGTACATGGACATGTAGGATCTGTGTGGAGCGGACTAGGCGCTGGGGAAAGAAAAGATGGCTGTCGTGTGCTTGCGACGTGTGGCTGCAGTTTCTATATAGGAACATGGCATAGACGGCCTTGTTCACGGTTTACTCACCCATCAACGCGCTCTCCTACGCTCGCCCCCCATCAAAACAACTGTTCCACTTTCGTGCTTTCCTTGACCTTGGGGCTCTTTCCTTAATAGGTTTTCGCTGTTTACGTTCCGTCTTACCACGTTTTTATCTCGCTTCGACGTGTTCCTTTCTTACATTACGGATCTCATTGCTTCCGACAAGGTCTTGTAATAGATCAGCACCCTGACCGATATTCTATTCCAAGAAAAGATTGCACGCATCCTAGCAACACCGGCAAGGCTCACATCCACTCCACATTCGTGATATAACATCATCGCCGTCTCGTCCACTGGATCGACATTACACAACATCCAACACCCGGCAACCAGTACCAAGCACTCGATCCATATTACCGCCAAGATAACACAAGTCGATAATTGAACATGATCTTCACTACCACTCTCGGCCTTGTCTTGGCTCTGGCCCCGACTGCCCTCTTCGCTGCTCCAACACAGACTGTCGACTCGATAGCAGCACTCGTCCCGAGACAGCATCTGGCGGGGCTGCCAGCGGCTGTGTACGACGAGTTGAGGAAGACAGACTCACTATGTGATCTGTCAAATGTTGCACTGCCTGCTGGTATGTATCTGGTCCCTTCCAATAACGCATAGCCCATAGATGCTAATAACAAGTAGCACCCACACCTCTCGCTGCTCCAGCGCAAGGCACCACTCTCCGCCACATCGCTATAGGTCGCGGCACCCAAAACTACACTTGTGCTTCATCTTCGTCTTCCGATGTGCCCAAAGCTGTGGGCGCTGTAGCCACGCTCTTCAATGCAACCTGCGATGCCGCCCGTCTCAACATCAACACACTCGCCGAGGTAACCACGCTCGCACTTGACTATGCCATTCCAAACTCCGCCGAAGCAGAGCAGCGGATATCAGGCCACCACCAGTTCACTGCCGCTGGTGTCCCTCTATTCATGCTGGAAACCGACAAAGTTAACTACGGCCGCGTCGAGTGCAAGGTCGACAGCAAGAGCGCCGCACCCCAGGCCGCAGCCAAGGGTACCAACGGACTTGGAAGCGTCCCATGGCTGAAGCTAAACGCCACCGTCACTAGCGAAGGCACTGACCCCTGGGCTTACAACGAGATCTACAGGATACATACCGCTGGAGGCATGGCACCCAAGGACTGCAGTGGAATCGAGGGAAGCTTTACCGTTGAGTACAGCGCGCAGTACTGGTTTTATGCATAAGCAATAATGGCTTAGCTGCGGTTGTCAATTGTCCTTCTTCTTCCCCTTGTACAGAGCATTTTCATCGGCGTTCAGGGCGCAGAGTACCGGTTCAGCGTTCCGGTAAAGCATACAAGCCTACGGGCTTTGGTAGATAGCACTACTTTTCTCACGATGTCTGTCAAGCCTATAGATGGCGACAGCAATCGTAATATTCAATCGCAAATTCTTTTCCTCATTATCTTGATTATGCTCGACTGAGGTCTTCTTTCAACTGTCTTCGAGCTGTTCTCTTTTCGATTTTCGATACCTGGAACTTCTCTTCCTGAGCAGTGTTCCTTTTTCGGCGTCCATGTCAACCATAAGCCTTTTCCCGGACTCTTGTTTTGCCTGGGAGATCTTCTTAGGCCAATCCTTACAGATGTCAATCCGTGATCTGGGTGCAAACATTTCCAAGAGGAGGTAGATCAAGTAGTCGACGATGACACAAATACAAAAGAGCTTGCCCGCCCAAATCCCGCAGCCGAAATATCTCTTCAATCTCTCGATGAGGGCAAAACTTTGCACACCCGCGCGACCACGGGTGGCGCTCCAAGCGCCAGCTGCGCCTGCACCCTGATAAAAATCACTGTGACTGATGACGCCACTGATGCCATCATACACCCTCTCCGTTCGTTGAGCTATATCGGTCCAGGAGTACATCTGCTTTACTTGGTTATGAAACAGTTCGGTCCGGACTTTGCCGGCTCTCAGTTTGGCGATAGCACGACCAGTAGCTTCAACAAGCTCGTCCTCTTCAGGCGCCGCAAACTCTACCATGTGTGTAGGCAGCACCTCGGGAATTCCACCGACTCGAGTTGCCACAACATACAGACCGCAGGAAGCAGCCTCCACGATGACCGTACCAAACGCCTCTGTCAGTGAAGGGCATAGATATATGTGGCCACGAACCATAACGTCTCGGACTTCCTCGTGACGGACTGGGCCAATCATGAGAACCTTGTCTTGTAACACATTGCGCTCGATCATTTGTTCAAGATCGATGGCCTTGGGTCCATTACCAGCGATAATGAAGCGAACGCTCGGGTTTGCGGCTACAATGTGGGGTATAGCGGCAACCAAGAGGTCTGTGCCTTTGTTATAGTAGAGTCGCTGAATCACAATGACGGTTATGGTCTCATCCGGGTCCATGGGCTGTCGCGGTCCCGGTGCTTTCGTGTGTCTAGCATCGAACACATCGTGTGATAGAGGACGGAAGTTCTCTGCAACGACGGCGTTCGGGATGACAGAAACCATGAGAGGGTCCAGTGAGGCTCGAAGTACCGTGTTTTCTTTGCTACAGCCTATCAGCACATGTCAGACGATACGAGTGGGACACGCACCAAGTGTGACTGACGCATATGACATGGTCGACATCGCTCAATGTGAATTTGAGGAGCTTGTTGGTAAGGATACTCCCAGCATCCGCAAAACCAAACAGGCTATGGTCTGTGAAGACAGTTCTCAATCCCATAGTCCGTGCATGCAATATGGCCTCATGGCACAGACTACTCAGGCTGGCGTGTCCATGTACGATTCCAATGCGCTCGCGAATAACAATATTGCGGAAGATGGGAAAGAAGGAGAAGACGGTGGGGAAGGTGGTCTCGCGGTAGATAACCCAGAATGGGACGTAGTAGACCTTGAGACCGTTGGTAAGATATCGGACGCCTTTCCGACCGTTGTACGCATGTGTGATGACGATGACCTTGTGTCCACGATCTATGAGTTTCTGGTTGTGTTAGGAATGTACAGGTGGGGGATGTTGAGCAGACTTGCACTCGACAATTGGTACATATGACTCTCTACTCCTCCTGAAATATATGAGTACTATACTGTTCGAAATCGCATGACATGGCCCGTACCGGGTTGGGGGTAGAAGTTGTCGCTAACCATGCTGTTGCGCGTGAGCTCTTGCCATGATGCAGGGTCTGGATCCAGAACGTACGCAATGTTGTAGGGCATGTTGGCGGATTGTAAGGACTGGCTCCTCGCATCTGCTCATAGAGAAGACACATGGCAGCTCAGGACATAGATGCGATGGTGACGCTGCATGAAGGCGTTGCTGTAAACATGGCGCCGTCGCGAATGGGTGCAAGGCATGGCGCGTCACTGGTCGGCGTTTAGCGTGTTGGAAACTCCGACCAAATTTCGAGGGTCCAGAATAATTTGTAGCCAACTTCACCATCCTGCAGTCGCAATCCGTCGCGAATCCCACCCGGCTATTTTCTGAACAATCGCTGTGCGGAAGTCGCCAGAGCTCAACTCGCGATGCCGGCCCCTCTATTCAAACGTTTCGCGCCGCCTGCGCCCATCCCCAACAAGCAGCCTTCACCTGCTCCAGCGCGCGATCAGGTCACGAAAGCCTCCAGCCCTCCCTATGCTGCGACCGAGGTGGTCGCCGACTCACACCCCGCATCTGTACAGGACAGTGTGGTGTTGGAAGTCCCAAAGACTATCAAGAAACCCAAGAAGAGGAAGCGCAATGCTGAAGCTGCCGAAGCCCAAGATGATGAAGTTTCCAAGAAGCATAAGAACATCCTTTCGAAATTCGAGAAAGCCTCGAAGCTTGCTGAAGTGGTAGGGCAAAAGGGAGAAGAGGAAGTTTCATATGAAGCTCAAGAACCAGAAGAACTCCACGATCTCGAACCCATGCCGCAACCCGCACCGATTCCCGAGCCAGTTTACGAACCTACCTTCTCCACTCTGCCCACGTGGCTCGCTCAACCTACCACCGTGGAAGCATCGACGACGACCCCGTTTTCCGAACTTGGTGTTGATCCTTCATATGTAAAGAGATTAGAGAAACAAGGATTCAAGGACGCGCTGGCTGTGCAAACAGCATTGCTTCCCATGCTGCATCCTGGCTTTGACCAGCACTTGGGCGACACATGCATCTCGGCCAAGACAGGCTCTGGAAAAACCCTGGCTTACCTACTACCCATCATCGAAGCCCTCAAGGATCGCGCGGTACCCGTACTGTCAGCCATTGTGGTAGTACCGAGCCGGCAACTCGTCAATCAGGCTCTACAAGTTGCCGAGGAGCTATGCGCTGGAACAAAGATCAAAGTAGGAACGGCTTTGGGCAGCATCGCCTTTGCGGCGGAGCAGAAGCAGCTTGTGAAGATGAGACCGCAATACGACCCCAGGGGAGCACAGGAACTTCAGGAGACGGCTTCACGACAACACCAGACTGGGCTTATGGAGAAAGGAGGACTATACGACGATCTGAGAGCCATGCCTTTAGACCACGTTCCACAATACGACTCGAGCGTAGACATTCTCATATGTACTCCGGGCCGATTAGTTGAGCACATCGAGCACACTACCGGCTTTCTGCTCAACAGTGTGCGCTGGCTCGTTATCGATGAAGCTGACCAGCTGCTGAGTCAAAACTTCCAGGGTTGGGCGACTGTGCTGATGGACGCCCTTCATGGTGAGACGCCAGTTGAGTTTATGAACGCTCAAGAACGGATACGAAAGCGAGAGCGCGATGCCAACTCTATCTGGTCCATGGCATTGCCTGCTCGTAGACAGCTCACAAAGATTGTGCTTTCCGCAACCATGGAGAAAGACCTCACGAAGCTCGGCACACTGAAACTCAAGCGTCCGAAGTTGATTGTCGTACAAGACGCGATTGCAGAATCTCAATCGTTGGACAATGAGGAAAATGTCTTTGAGTTGCCGTCGACCCTACACGAGTTTGCGGTGCATGTTGGCGATGGTTCTAACAAGCCCCTACACCTGTTGTATGTGCTCGTCAACTACGTATTCCCAGGCGCCCAGTCAGCATCAGGCTCTTCATCGGTTTCTTCCGCCTCTGGTACATCATCTGACTCTGACTCTGACTCGGGCGAAGATGAACGGGCATCTGTATCTAAACAGAGTGGCCGCGTTCTCATCTTTACTAAAAGCACAGAGAGTGCCTCTCGCTTGTCGCACCTGCTTGGTGCGCTCATGCCAGGTTTCAAGAATTACATGAAGACGATGACCCGAGCGTTGACAGCGGATGCGTCTCGAAGATTGCTCAAATCATTCAGCTCTGGAGTGGTCAAAATACTAATTGCGTCCGACGCCGCATCCCGTGGGCTGGACATTCCTGATATTACTCATGTCATCAACTATGATCTTCCGACAAGTATCACCAGCTACGTCCACCGCGTCGGTCGGACAGCTCGCGCGGGCAAGACAGGAGAAGCATGGACGCTGTTCACGAAGAACGAGGCCGCGTGGTTTTTGAAGCAGGTAGCCAAGGGCGAAAGCATAAAGCGTGGCAGTAAGAAGGTCAAGCGTATGGAGTGGAAAGAGAGCACTGTGACGGCGGACGGAAGGAAGAAAGCGTATCGCACGGCGCTGAAGCAGCTGGAGAGCGCTGTCGCAGGCAATGCTGAGGCTGAATAGATCTGCGGCGAAACCGTTACCTGTTGACCGCACAGTAGTCCGAAGATGGCCAGCCCTGACTATTACGAAGATACCCAATCCATGTCCCACATGTAGTTGCGGACCGTTTCTATGCTGCATGTACCAAGCTTGCTCAATAGCCTTGGCTTTGCTTGATACCATCCCTCACGATCGGCGCCAACGACAACGAGCTCTCTTCGCATTTGGAAGGTGATAAGAAAGCTTAATCGTCCGAGCATCGGTGTATCAGTGAACGTGCAAGGAGACAGTGAAGCTTCACCGTTGATAGGACGTGAGAACTTTCCGTAGTTCAGCCTGGGGCAGCGCCAACCCCAGAGTGCAGTGCTAAGCATTCTCCTCGGCATGCGTGATCATGCTTGGTACCCTCCCACACCGCGGTGTCGTGCGCTGGAGGTTGCGGATCACATCCGGAAGGGGCAGGTTGGAAGCGCAAGCGGGCATGTGACATGCAATTGGCCGAAGACGAGATTCGCGACTTCCTGAGCAAAAAGTCGTCCATGGCCATGATTGGCTGCGAAACCTGTTGATGTGACATGTCAGGGTTAGCCTCCACGGGAAGG